TACTGCCACACGTGATGGTGGGGCAAATTTGTGGGAGAGAATGAGTGGGGGGGTGGGAGGGGCTTAATCTTTCCCCGTCCCATTGATTCTTCCCCCAAACACTTCCCCGCTTTTACCGAGCTTTAACCCCTCCTGGGTCTCCGAGACCAAAATGGGGGAACGCAGGGGTCTCCCTTTTGAGCCTGTGGACATCTCTGGAATGAGCCACAAAATGTCTGCCGCAGGAGGTGGAGCCGGCCACAAAATGGCCACTGCGGCTTACCTTCAGTCACACAGCGAAGATCCCTGCGCTGTAGGGGCGGCGGCTGCCAAAGCAACATTTTTTAAAAAAAATCTGCACAGCCAATCAAAACTCCAGTGCCCAATCAGAAGCCTCGCTGGGCAAAAGCCCCGACAGGTCCCGCCCACTTTCTGAAAACGCTTGGCAGGCATCAGAAGAGACCTTGGGGTAACTGGTTCCAGGGGGGAATCAGGTTTGGGACGATGAAGTTTCACATACCTTTTCCCACCGGCTAGTTCCCACCACCGTGAACACGTCTTCCAAAAACTCATATCTCCTGAGCCTTCCCGGGGCAATGTTTGTACGACCCCCGGATTACCTCAGGGGGAGGGGCTTGTTTGCTTTTTTTTTTCCCGGCGGGATTTTCTGCCCTTTCGCTTACAAACCCGATCCAACCCTGGGAACTCTCCTTGGTCGGTGGCTCCAGCCGCCGCACGACCTGACTCCTGAGCGTGTTTTCCTCTCTCCCTCCCGAGCATCTGTTTGGGGTTCACTTTGTTGATTCAAGTGCCATGACCTCATTCTGGCGGGGATGTTAGTTTTAGATTCCCGCCCGTGTGGGAGCGAGATGAGCTCAGATTGTCAGGCCCTCTTAACCGGAGCCAAAGAATGTGGAAACCCTTGATAGCCCGACGGGGGGGGAAGCATGTTGGAGGGGGGACAGGGAAAGGGGAAACAATGATGACAGATAGTCAATCCGCAGAGCAAAATCAGGCCCAGCCCGTCAGGCCGAGAGATGCTCGAAGAGACCTACGTTGGTAGGTTTTCCCTCCCGTTTCCTTTCCCGTGCGTGAGAAATTTGCTTTTCCCACAATTCCCCCCTCCAGACTTCTTTTCCCTCCCGTTTCCTTTCCCGCGTGTGAGAAATTTGCTTTTGCCACAATTCCCCCCTCCAGACTTCGGTTTCCTGGATCAGTTTTAGATACTGTAAATGCGAAAACAAAAATCACAAAGACGACACTGGTGTGGCCCAGTTTCGAATCCCCGTTTGTGCCGTGAAAGCTCACTGGGTGATCTTGGGCCAATCCCGCACTTTCAGCCTAACCTACCTCACAAGGCTGTTGTGAGGATAATTAGAGGAGAGAAGGGAACGAGATAAGCCATTTTGGGGTCCCCACTGGGGAGGAAGGCATAAATTAAAGGCTTCTGAGAGGAGAAAGGGGAAGGCCCGCTGTTCCGGGCAAACTTGTCTCAACTCCTAAGCGTTATCCCTGTACGAGTTTCAACCCGAATCGTCAACGTGCTACGACAAGTCGAATTTTGACTGCAGGGTGTGGGTCAGAGCAACGGGACGGTGCTCAGAATCAGGTCCACCACCACCCCATTCCCCCTACCCAGAAGAAAAAGAGGAGACTGGATTTATACCCCACCCTTCACTCCCCAAGTGAGTCTCAGAGCGGCTTACGAACGCCTTTCCCTTCCCCTCCCCACAACAGACACCCTGGGAGGTAAAAGAAGAAGAAGAAGAGATGGGATTTATACCCCACCCTTCACTACCCACAGGTGTCTCAGAGCGGCTTACAAACTCTTCTCCCTTCCCCTCCCCACAACAGACACCCTGTGAGGCAGGTGGGACTGAGAGAGCTCTGACACAAACTGCTCTTTTTCAAGAACAGCTCTTATCAGAACTACGGCTTGCCCAAGGTCATCCAGCCAGGTGCAAGTGGAGGAGTGGGGAATCAAACCCGGTTCTCCCAGATTAGAGTCCGCGCACTTAACCACGACGCCAAACTTTCCACGGAAACCCAGTCGACAGTCTAA